GGTGTGGGGTGGGTGGGTGTGGGTGTGGGGTGGGTGGGTGTGGGTGTCATCGCCTGTTCGTTTTGTATCCACACCCACACGCACACGCACACCCCACACCCACACCCACACACCCACACCCACCCTCAAGATAAGCAGCCAATTGGACAGGAATTAATGATCGAATGAGTGGCAATAGACCATACAGTAACATATTTCTCAACTCAGTCGCTCTCTAAGAGTAATCATGACGTATGTAAAAATTTCAATACCTACATACTTGCAATAGGAAAATTCTTTAACAGTACGCATCTTTCGGTTAAAAAAAATGAGAAAAAGGCTGATGACGAAAAGGTTCATCAAGCTCATTCGTTTGTTTTGGTGTTAAGTATTTTTGATAAAGACAGTGAATAGCAGTACGTATATAACGCAAAAGCGACACATGCATGTAGTCTATTACTACACATCGAGGATGGTACAAAAAAAAGGAGAAATTCCAAGATGACCAGAAACATTTTCTTTTGACTTTTCTGCTCCTCTTGAATAACGTGCATAATCAATTACTGAGCGAAGAGTAAGTCGTTTTTCAAAATGATATTGTAGTTTGTTGTTAATATGAACACCTCGTATATAACAAAACTAACAGCACCAATAGCCTTGATGATTGATGTGTTTTATTGCCGGGTAATCCCTAGTAAGTCCATATACCAGAACCCTATAATTAATACCATATCGAGTAAAGATGCCTACAGTCGTAAAAAAAACATTAGGTTTTTATTATAAAAACCATCCAGTTTTCTTCACAAGATAATCAACGGAAGATTGAAACGACAAATATAATACTGTCAGCAGTCAAAGTAAAAATTTTGGAAGTATGATAGTATCTCACATTATAAAAAGTGAATAGAACAAAATATTCAACACTTGTTAAACAAAACTACGCTATATTATACAAGAGAATACCTTACGAAAGAATTAACTTATTTTCTTTCAAACTAATCGTCTTTGAAGAACTGTTCTCTTCTTACGACTGATCTCAGTTCTATACACTGCATTGACTATTATTGTTTAGTGAATCTTATCATTCTCAAACATTCATAAATACCTTTTTTCTTTAGATGATTCAGTTGATTTAAACATTCAGATAACCATAAATCAATAAGTGGTTCCAGATGACCTATCCAAGAAGAAAGAATAATCATATTAAAGCGACGATATCGTAGATGAACAGGAAGCTCAATAAAACAACAAATGAACAACCATAACTTAAGTTTATTTGATTTACACAAATTAATGCCGTCTAAGTGTAACAATAATGAAATAAATGGCGATGAACCATATTTATTTTGAAGATCTTTATAGACTTGATTAAATATAATATCATTGTTGTTGTGTAATAAAAGACGATCTAACATTCCTGTCAATACCAATGATTGATTAACATTAAATACACTAACAACTGATTTATCATTGAGTGAGTTGCACTTTTTAAACATTTTGTCATTATGGAACAAATTGTTATGGCATTTAGTACAAATTAATCTTTTAACAATAGTGAATAAAGAGATACGAAACACCTACATCCACACCCTCAAAATATGGCAGATTAAGGTTTGGGTAGGCTCGATTCAATGTAAAAATTTTCTATTATTGCTTAGTTTCTATATTCTTCTGACCAAATGACAAATTGTTACAAGATCAGTTCATGTTTTCTCTACTATCGAGTCTTGTCCAATGATGTATTGATTGCACTTTGTTAGCATCTATATCGATGTCGAATTCTTTGTTCTTAAGTGGTCTAATCTCACAATAGATTTTTCACTTCGAGTGGCCCTCTTTGGCTGCAATTTTCAGAAATATGTGATTCTCATGAGAAACGCTTTTGAAAAAAATTTCAGCTTGATATGTCGAACCAGCGCGAACTTTCGGTTCATTTATGATCTTCAGGAGAATCGTTATCACTTTATCACTGCAAGAGAGATACAAAACTCTGGACTAGTGGGGGCGATCCATTTAAAGCCAATGTCTATGCGCAGTTCTTCACCGAACAGAATTTTGAAAGTCGCTTTCGCTCATTTTTTTATGATCATTTTACTACAATCAATGTTAAAATAAGCAAAAAAATGGCATCTTGCAACATTAAATCTTGTTTTGCTCAATACAAAAATCAACTATAAAAAATCTGATCGGACAAAAGTTTACTCTTATTTAAAACTTTAAAAAAAAAGGAAATAATTTATAGCTTGAACCTAATTGAAAATCATGCTCTAATAAATACGTAAAATAAGTTGAGACATGAATTTTTTCATCCGAATCTGGAAAAACAACGAAAACCTCTCTAAAAACACGGTAGAAGGGTGAAAATCCTCTCCAAGAGTCGATTAAAATTTGGTCTGTTTTTGATAAGTCATATATATATAATTTGATAGAGGGAACTTCGCCACATCTAACTATGATACAAACTCAACTTCAATTATTTTTCGAAAAAAAGGCTTTTCTGACGAGGATCCTTGATATAAGACAGATTAATTGTTGTTTTAAACTTCCGTTTAAAATAACTTTTGAATTTTGGATACTTAAATAAAATTAATCCTTGCGTATACCAATGCCATCTAAACAAAACAAAATTATATCTTTCTCTCAAATTAAAGAGCAAAAGATCAAAAATAGTTTCAAACAAATTTCACCTGCAATTCAGTGTAATCCATCGAATAAAAAACATAATTACACTATGCCATCACTCAACAACGTTTAAATCATGTTATTATTTCTTATATTTTTAGACAAAAATTAGATTTACTTAATTAGAACAACATCTGTTCTGATTTTATTTCCAAGAATCCAAACAGAACAAGATAATTTGGTGTTCAATAGTTTTACTTCTTCTTAGGCTGATTTTTATTGGATTTTTAAGCAACATTTCTCTTTTACTTCATTAGCTCCTGTTTTGTTTTGAAACAATAAAGCATCAGAATTATCATACTCATACAGAATTAAAATCTTGCA